GTCGGATATCGCACACATCTTGTTACGCCGAATCGTTTGTGTTCACCTCGATCATCGCAAATGGTTCATCGGAGCGAATTGTATGCCATATATCGCACACACCTTGATCTGGCTGCCCATTTTTGTTATTCTGTCTCATCGCAAACAGTTCGTATGGATCAACCGTATGCCCCGCATTGCACATGCAACTAAAATCTGAATCATATTTGATGTATCATTCATCGCAAATGTTTTGCATTTTTTTGACGGTTTTTACATCACCCTTTGCGATTAATTCATCGCACATAGTTTCGTCAAAGGGTGTCTGATCATGGTGTCGCCTTAGCAATATCCTGAAGTAGTGATATGCAACTCAACAACACTTATGGACAACTTTTCAATGTGTTGTATGCAACTAACAGTAATGGCAGGAGCTAAGCATCACCGGCAGACAACTTTAGAGTTTTTGTGGGCAACTTAGAAAAACAATGATAAGCAACATCACAATATTTGTAGGCAACTAATTTGCAAAGTTAGGCAAATAGCAATGGTATGCAACTGGGCATCAATGGTAGACAATTCATAGTATCTATAGGCAACTGAGCAGCGATGATAGGCAACTAATTACCAATAGCAGGCAGTTGGGCATCAATGGTAGGTAATTTCATAATATTTATAGGCAACCGAGCATCAATCGTACGCAATTGAGCAGCCACAATAGGCAAGTTGAGATAATGTTACCAAAATTCACATCTACACATAGTGAAGTGAAGTTGCTTGCATGTAGCACTAAAGTTGCCCCATGTTTTCGTGTGAGTTTCTCGGCTTGACACAAATCAACCTAATAGGCAGTCCTACTAGGACAAAAAAAGGAGTTTGCTTCCCTATAATTACTAATTAGAGGTACTCTAATCAATTGGTAGTCATGGTAAAAAGCTTATAAAGACTCCTCGCTGACAGGTAGTCATACCAGGAAATAAAAATGAGTTGCTTCTGTAGCATCCAAAGTTGCTCTAAAAAAACTTTGCCAAAACCTATCCATATGAGATCTAGTTTTTAAGAACTCATCATGAGAAACCCAACGATGAAAGCGGAGCTAGATTTCGATGCTTGAACCAAAAGTTGCAGCTTTTAAGACTTTTTTTGAACCCCAAGTAAATGTACATGGGGACAAGATCTAGATCAATTCCATCGGTAGCCCAGTGCGCTACGAGATGTGGCTAGACAGTTTCCTTTTATAGTATAGACAACATGATACAATGTCATGTACTTACTATACACAGGAGTGAGCTCCAAACAACGAAAGAGCGCAGTGACGCTCCCTAGCCACGTCCTTATAAAAAGCACAATTTCTGTGTAAATTGTGCGCAAAGTTTATATAATTTATTTTTCTTTCTTCCTAAAGGATAATAGCAATGACACTATTGAATCTTCCTTAGATTTTTTATTTTGATTTTGTTTTAGTTTCTATTTTATTTCCTTTCTTCTTTAAGGGTAATATCAATGCTAATGATTCATTATTTCTTACGAAACCTTTTTGGGTGAAATTGCACTTTATATACTTATTCGTGCATATTTAAAAAGGCAATTTTTATATAAAATGTGTGTAATTTTTTTATTTGTTTTCATTTGCTTTCTTTTTATGGGTAATACCAATGTCACTAATTTATTTTTTTTCTTAGAAAAAATCAATATTTTTTGTTTTTTGTTTTATTTTCTATCTTCTTAATGGGTAATACTAATCTAATTTATTTCCTCTTAGAACTTCCTATTTGCAAAAATTCCTCTATTATATGTTTATTCTGAATATTGTAAACATTGGTAATTATGTATAAATTGTGTGCAAATTTAATCATTATTTGTTCTATTTTTTAAATGGGCAATGCCAATGCAAATAATTTTTTTATTACTTAGAAAACTTCATTACTTTTTTTTAGTTTTTACTTCATTTTGTTTCTTTTCTCAGGGTAATACCCATGCCACTAAGTGATTGCTTCTCAGGAAAAAACGTTTCCCCCCGAAAATTTCACTATTATACACTTAATCTTGCATATTATAAAATGCAATATTCCTATGTAAAATTTTTAATTTTCTTTGTCCTTAATGGGCATTTATTCTTTAATGTGACATAAGTATTAGAATTTCACTCGACTAGCCCTTTTTCCCTTTTGGTTATTGGGTTAAACAACTCATAGTAATTAAAACAAGGGTCATTAAAAAACTATGATATTCTAAGAACACTTAAAAATACTTTGCTAACAAACGGGCCATATATTATACTCCCTCCGTTTCAAAATAAGTGACTCGACTTTATACTAACTTTGTATTAAAACTAGTATAAAATTGAGTCACTTATTTTGTGACGGAGGGAGTATATAATAGGGAGCAGTTGTGTGGTTGGAAGGAAGTTAGAGCATCTCTAGCAGACCCCGCATCCCGCCGACCCGCATTTCACGTTTGCAGTTCGCGGAAAAGTTGTTTTGCAGTCCGCAGCGAAAAGCCGCAGAGGCAGACCCCACAAAGCCAGCCCGCATCCTATTTTACGGGTCGCTTTGCGGGGTCTGCTTGTGCGACCGTCCTCCCCCCAACCCGCAAAATATAAATTTGCACTCAATTTGCACCTCAATTTGCATTTCTTTGCATTTTCAACCACATTGGATACATAGGACATCACCAAATTTTTGCGAGAAAAGCAAGTCCAAAGAAAACAAGAACCACAAGTATGCATTTTAGAAGATTTCCAACTTCCATAACTGCTCCCACGAGTTGAAGCAATAGCTTCTCCATGCACTCATTGTTGATCTGCGGATTCTTGATCTTTACTTCTTCATTGTTCTTCTTTGGTTCTAAAGATGTAGTCGTTGCTTCCCCTCTAGTTGCGCATGCATGCGGTTCATTGCCTTGGATTGCATTAAGGAGTGTATGAACGTCTATCAATTTTCTTTCTATAAATAGATCAATGTATTCACCTTCTCAAAACCAAAATGAGCATCCACTTTCCTACATGCATGATGATGTTTCAAATGAGCAAACATAATGGGTTATCCAAATGAGCCGAATGCAAAACAGCACGCACCCCGTCGTTTTCGCATTTGAACAACACCCATCCGGGGTGCTTCGGCGTGCCCAAAGTCAGCCGCAGCACTGTTCGCAGGCAGTCGCCGCACTGTATGAGCAGCATTGGCGAGCCACAGAGCCTCTGCGCGAGGGCCGAGCCCGGCGAACGACCGGCCGAATCCATGCCGACAAACCGTCGGCGGTGGCGAGTGGACGAACCAGCACCTGCATGCGCCGATGAGCCTTTGTCGGGGCTGCGCGAGGTGCTTCCCGACAATCCCATATCTTGTCGTAGCCGCCGGCGGCCGGAAAGCCAAATCCAGCCGCCCGCGATGAAAACGCCGCAGATCAAGGGCCCGGCCCGCCGATGTAGGACGAGGGGGGTAGGGGGCGGAGGGCTACCTTGTGCGTCTGGAGGCCTTCCCCGCGTACTCCCGCCGGCCACTTTCGTCGGAATCTTAGGCGGCGGGGGGAGGGGGGCGAGGGGGGAGAGGGGAGGTGGTTAGTGGGGGAAAAGCGCGGGCTGAAATGCCCCCCTCCCCAACCAACCGCTCCCGCTATATGCAGGGCACCGACGAGCCGGGAGGGGGGGGGCGCGAATACGCGGGTTGAGGCCGAACTTTTGCCGCGCCCCTCAAATGTTTTTACGGGTCACCCGCGTTTGCGGTGTCTCTTCGGGCGAGGTTTTCGCCGCCAGCCCGCATTTTGGTGGTTATTTTGCGGGTCGGGGACTTTTGCGGGGTGTGCTAGAGTTGCTCCTATGTATCCATGTAAAGAAATGTTAGGCAGCAATCCTCCTCGTAGGTGTAGCAATTTTAGACAAACACTCCCAACTTTTCCAAACACGTACGCATGCACCAGAGGTTGACTGTGGATCAGGTTGGAGCAATCTCAGGTGAGAGCATGTACTAGCAATCTTCCTGTACACACGCATTATCAGCTCGTACCATGCACCAATTAAAGTAGTTGGACGCCTCTTTCAGAGACCCAGAGTACGTATACCCAACTACCCTTTGCACAAAGCCAACGATAGGTTATGCGACACAACGACCGAGAGAAACCTGGCTAGCACACAAATTGACGGAAACAAAGTTGTGGTCTGTATTTAGTCGACTGTCCTAACCAATCCTATCAAAAATTAGAGATGCTCATAAGGATAGAGTGTGTGCACGCGTGTTTATAGGAGTGAGTATATGCACATATATATGAGCGCTTGCATCTGTACTGTGTTAAAAAAACAGTACATCAAAAATTAGCTTGCGCGCTGGGTTGGGCATGAATGCATGTTCGAACCCCTGCAACAGCGCACCATTTATTTTGCATTCCTTTTTCTTTCTACACACATAAAATGTGTCATTATCTATGTTTTTTTTGACATCGTGTCATTATCTATGTTGGTGTACTATTTTCTACTATCTCCGTCAATGTCAAAAATGAAATTACATTCCGGGACGGAGGGAGTGGTTTATATTATCCTGTGGGATCCACACGTCTGCCATAGCATGCACAGTTGACGGCAACAAACAACGGCCGGTAGAACTAACGGACGCTGTAGTAAAATGTGTCCTTATTTTTTTTTTTCTGCGGGTTAAATGTGTCCTTAACTTGGTTTACAACTTTTCCAGTTAGTGTATGATTTTATCATCTCGCTTCAAGTCAAATTGAGGTCTTTTACATACAACTCGTCGATATGACTAGCCACCGAACAACTCAAATTACAGTATCCATACATAGATAAGTCACAGAAGAATTCTAGATTAATCTTAACTCAACCGAAATATAGCAACATGGGACCGCATCTCTCATGATCATCATCTACATAATTTATTTCCGACAAGCATACTTGAATCTTGTAGTACGGGACTGGCCGGTCCTAACTCCTATTTGTGATGATATCTCCCGTCATGATGGCACTCCGCTTTGGTGATAGAAGGGCGACGTAGGGACCCCGGTCATATCAAGCACTAGGAGTAGTCAATCTTTTGCTTTGCCTGAATTAGATTAGCTCGAAGGCTTACTTCTTGAACCTGCAAACATAGACCCAAGAGTATTCAGTTGTGAGCTAGGAATACGTGTGAGCCTTTTCAAATTGAAAATTGAAAAGAAGTACTAGCATACAAGGCTAACGAAAATGCAAATGTGCACCACGCTGCATGCATGGATATGCACAACGCTAGTCATGCACTCACTCCCTTCTTTTAACACTAAAAATCTACAATGCACACCCTTCGCTGCAATGAACTCATTAATTTTATGGTATGAACATTTTTTTTTACCAACTAAGGTGGCAATTATGTTCCACACTGCCTCTGGACTCTAGAAGTTTGTTCATTCACATCAAGAAAATTCTCCCAAAAAGGCATAACAACTATCCACAAATAAAAGGTGTAACAACCATATTACTCTTATTGTAATAATTTGCTCGTGGAAATGCAAAAAAAATTAGAAATTGTTATCTATGTCTCGCTCAACTGAGAAAATAAATTAAGACAACTTTACAAATTTATTCACACAGAACTAAGCAAAAATGTTCACCATCTTGCAACCTTTTAGTAGTTTAGTGAGTGAAGATATAGTTTGCTTTCATAGTTCAGAACATGGAATCTTGCATGGGTCTTAACTTCGACTAAAAATAATAATAAAAATATGATGGTTGAGAAATAACAAAACCACATACTCGGTTAACAAAATATCATGCGAGGACAACTTTTAGAAATTTGTTCATGAAGAAATAAAAACGTGGAGTGCCGCGTGGATCCAGTGTTGGATCCGAAAAGTAAGAATTTCTCGGACGATCGAGAATCAGCAAAACAACGATCAAACACGGCTTTGTTCTGGTGGGACATAATAACCCAGCTTTGTTCTGGTGTGGGACATAGCCCAGAGGCCAGAGCTCAAGAACGTGGACCGTCTACCCACCTGGAGGTTAGTGACAATCCTGCACAGCCGCATGACCTCCTCGATCCCTGCCATCTCCTCCTGCATTGTCCTCGCGAGCTCGTCGACCGAGCTGCTGGTGACACTACCCTGAACGCCAAGCACCGGCGGCACACACAAAAGTTAGGGCCGAAACGACACGCAAAACTCTCTCGGTTACTCGTCCCTACTTGAAATTTGCACCGGCAAATACATGTAGGAACTGATGAATAAATGCATGTACCGTGGCATAGAACATGTCAGCCCTGGCTTTGATCTCATCCACGGTGCGCGCGCAAGCAAGCATGGTTTCGTGCAACAGCTCCAGGTTGGCCTGCATTTTTGTAGTAGTAGCTTATAACTTACCAACCGACCTGCTGTCGTGCTGCCATACATACACGCCAGGAGAAGTAAAAAATGTACGTGCGTTACGAGAGACAGCACGTACTCGGGCGCCGTCGGATAAGGGGAGGGAGGTGGAGGCGGCGGAGAGCACCCGGCCGAGGTCTGCCACAGCGTCGGAGTGCGGTTCTCCGAGCGTCTCCCATGCGACGAGGACGGGGAGCTGCGGGCGCAGGAGCCTGCCCAGCTTCACCTTCTGCCGCCACCGCTGCGCCACAATCCGCTTCGCCGTGTGGATGTTGCGCAGCTCGGCCACGCGCCGCCACACGTAGAGCAGCTTGCTCTGCATGCGGCCACGCCACGCACATCGGCGAGAAAAATGACCAGGTAATCGCATCACTACTAGTAGTACGTACGGTTAACGGTTGCACGTTGTAGTATAAAGAAACTGCATGCATGCGTCGGCGTGGCTTACCTCGGCGGCGTGGGTGGCGCGAGTCATGGCCTTCTCCATACGTGCGTTCGCGAGCCGCCATTGCATCAGCCGCGCGGTGAGCACGCGCGCCCGGTGCGCCACGTCCTCCTTCTTAGGCGTCGTCGCCGTCTTCCTCGGCACGCTCGGCCCTCTGCCGACGCCCTCGGAAGGCGACGACTGCCCGGTGCTCCGCCTACGCCTCGTCTGCTGATCCCAGGCACCCCTCGCAGCGAAGCCCGGCTCGGGTGACGACCTGCACGGGGACATCACCACAGTGTCCGCGCTGCGTCGTCGCGTCGTGTCCGCCGCGTCGTCGACGCCGGCGCTGGGCTTCCTGTAACCGAAGGATGCTGCCTTGCGGAGAGAGCGCACGAAGTTGGCGGTCGAGAAGGCCGGCGCGGCGCGGGAGGCCGAGCCGGGGCTGCGTGCTAGGCGGTGAGGTGACGCCATTGGGTGTCGCGTGGTGCTGGCACCGTTGGACTCCATGGACGACGATAATACGATCAAGGACAAGACAAAATTAATATATAGATGGAGAAAGCAACGAGGTGCCGGCGGCAAAACGGGGTTCAGAGGCCTGAATTGAGAGCTGCAACGCACATGCCGGTTCCCCTTGTTGTCGGATTAGCTACATTGGGGACATTTCAAAGGATGCATGCTAGCTAGTACAGTAGTCCGCACTTTATTAGGAGGGCAGATGGCTGGTGTACAGTTGGTGTTTATTCTGCTGTTTGGCTTAGAGCATCAGCTGAAAATGGACAAAACTGGCCATTTTCCGACACTTCAACACGAAATGGCTCTAGTCTGAAAATATTTCACAAAATGACCCTCTTTTGCATGACGCCCGGGGCTGGGGCGCCATGATAGAGAGCATGACGCCCCGGCCTAGGACGCCATGGTTGCGACATGTAGCATGGCACTATGCCAAATAGCACGGCGCCCTAGCCCGGGGCGTCATGCTATCTAGTATGGCGCCCTAGCCCCGGGCGTCATGCAAAAGGGCCATTTTATGAAATATTTTTAGACTGGGACCATTTCGTGTTGAAGTTTGGGAAAAGGGCCAATTTTGTTAATTTTCACATCGGCGGTGTATAGAGGCCACACTGCCTCTAAGGTGGCCCAATGGCAACCTCTTGGACTCTTGGTTGTTCATGTCGTGTCTCCGGTGGCCGAGCTCCATGTTAGTGTTGCGGATGGGCCGGAAGCAAACCCCTATGGTGGCTTCTCTTCTCGTGCTAGACCTTGCCAGCCGCCGTCAGTTGCGTCGGCTGCCTCTGGGAGCAGGGCCATCATCGAGGTCGTGGCTCTACTGTTGCTACTTATTTCCGAGTTTCAAGAGTTATGTGTGTAGAAATTATAGAATGGCCAAATATTTCTTGTTGTATTGTCGGTGTATTGAACTCATGCGGGTATATATAAAAGTACATGAGAGAGGGGTAGGCTTAGAGTACAAGGCAACATTATTTAAACCAATTTTATCTCTAATACATCTTTATCTCTAACTCTCAAATATGATATCTCTAACATCCCCCATCGGTCGTAAGGAGAGTGAAGCAGACAATTGCGACTGAATTAGAAGTCTTGCCTTTGTGTTGTCTTCTCTGCCGCGTCATCATCACTACATCTAATGGTTGATTGGTTGGAACCTAGGGCGGTGTTCGCGTCCCCTTCTGATGCCTTTGTCTCTCCTCTATTCTCTCCTGCAATTATATCAGGAGTGGTGTGGCGCTAGTGACGATGCGGATGTTGTTGACTGGAGTTTTTGCCGATGACTACATTACAAAATTTGCTCTATTTTACGATGTTTCATTTGTGTCTTGTATAACCCTTTCTGTCATGGAAAATAGGCTGGTGACTTTTGTTGGGGAACGTTGCATAAAATAAAATTTTCTACGTTCACCAAGATCAATCTATGAGTTCATCTATCAACGAGAGAGAGAGAGAGAGATGCATCTACATACCCTTGTAGATTGCGTGCGGAAGCGTTCAAGAAAACGGGGTTGAGGGCGTCGTTCTCGTCGTGATCCAAATCACCGGAGATCCTAGCGCCGAACGGATGGCCCCTCCGCGTTCAACACACGTATGGTCAGCGTGACGTCTCCTCCTTCTTGATCCAGCAAGGGGGAAGGAGAGGTTGATGAAGATCCAGCAGCACGACGGCGTGGTGGTGGATGCAGCAGGGTTCCGGCAGAGCTTCGCCGAGCTTCTGCGAGAGGGAGAGGTGTAGCAGGGGAGAGGGAGGCGCCAAGACTTCAGGGTGCGGCTGCCCTCCCTCCCCCTCCTTTATATAGGCCCCCAGGGGGGGCGCCAACCCTGGAGATGAGATCTCCCAAGGGGGGGCAGCCAGGGGGGTGGAGTGCCCCCCAAGGCAAGTGGTGCGCCCCCACCCTAGGGTTTCCAACCCTAGGCGCAGGGGGGCCCAAGGGGGGCGCACCAGCCCACTAGGGGCTGGTTCCCCTCCCACTTCAGCCCACGGGGCCCTCCGGAATAGGTGGCCCCACCCGGTGGACCCCCGAGACCCTTCCGGTGGTCCCGGTACAATACCGGTGGACCCTGAAACTTTCTCGATGGCCGAAACAGCACTTCCTATATATAATTCTTTTCCTTCGGACCCTTTCGGAACTCCTCGTGACGTCCGGGATCTCATCCGGGACTCCGAACAACTTTCGGTTTGCTGCATACTCATATTCATACAACCCTAGCGTCACCGAACCTTAAGTGTGTAGACCCTACGGGTTCGGGAGACATGTAGACATGACCGAGACGTCTCTCCGGTCAATAACCAATAGCGGGATCTGGATACCCATGTTGGCTCCCACATGCTCCTCGATGATCTCATCGGATGAACCACGATGTCGAGGATTTAAGCAACCCCGTATACAATTCCCTTTGTCAATCGGTATGTTACTTGCCCGAGATCCGATCGTCGGTATCCCAATACCTCGTTCAATCTCGTTACTGGCAAGTCACTTTACTCGTACCCTAATGCATGATCCCGTGACCAGACACTTGGTTACTTTGAGCTCATTATGATGATGCATTACCGAGTGGGCCCAAAGATACCTCTCCGTCATACGGAGTGACAAATCCCAGTCTCGATCCATGTCAACCCAACAGACACTTTCGAAGATACCTGTAGTGCACCTTTATAGCCACCTAGTTACGTTGTGACGTTTGGTACACCCAAAGCACTCCTACGGTATCCGGGAGTTACACGATCTCACGGTCTAAGGAAAAGATACTTGACATTGGAAAAGCACTAGCAAACGAACTACACGATCTTTGTGCTATGCTTAGGATTGGGTCTTGTCCATCACATCATTCTCCTAATGATGTGATCCCGTCATCAATGACATCCAATGTCCATAGTCAGGAAACCATGACTATCTGTTGATCAACGAGCTAGTCAACTAGAGGCTCACTAGGGACATATTGTTGTCTATGTATTCACACGTGTATTACGATTTCCGGATAATACAATTATAGCATGAATAAAAGACAATTATCATGAACAAGGAAATATAATAATAATCCTTTTATTATTGCCTCTAGGGCATATTTCCAACAGTCTCCCACTTGCACTAGAGTCAATAATCTAGTTACATTGTGATGAATCGAACACCCATAGAGTTCTGGTGTTGATCATGTTTCGCTCGCGGAAGAGGTTTAGTCAACGGATCTGCGACATTCAGATCCGTATGTACTTTGCAAATATCTATGTCTCCATCTTGAACATTTTCACGGATGGAGTTGAAACGATGCTTGATGTGCCTGGTCTTCTTGTGAAACCTGGGCTCCTTGGCAAGGGCAATAGCTCAAGTGTTGTCACAGAAGAGAGTGATTGGCCCCAGCGCATTGGGTATGACTCCTAGGTCGGTGATGAACTCCTTCATCCATATTGCTTCATGCGCTGCCTCCGAGGCTGCCATGTACTCCGCTTCACATGTAGATCCCGCCACGACACTCTGCTTGCAACTGCACCAGCTTACTGCTCCATGATTCAACATATACACGTATCCGGTTTGTGACGTAGAGTCATCCAGATCTGTGTTGAAGCTAGCGTCGACGTAACCCTTTACGACGAGCTCTTCGTCACCTCCATAAACGAGAAACATGTCCTTTGCCCTTTTCAGGTACTTCAGGATATTCTTGACCGCTGTCCAGTGTTCCTTGCCGGGATTACTTTGGTACCTTCCTACCAAACTTACGGCAAGGTTTACATCAGGTCTGGTACACAACATGGCAGACATAATAGATCCTATGGCTAAGACATAGGGGATGACACTCATCTCTTCTTTATCTTTTGCCGTGGTCGGGCATTGAGCCGAGCTCAATCTCACTCCTTGCAATACAGGCAAGAACCCTTTCTTGGACTGATCCATTTTGAACTTCTTCAAAATCTTATCAAGGTATGTGCTTTGTGAAAGACCTATGAGGCGTCTCGATCTATCCCTATAGATCTTGATGCCTAATATGTAAGCAGCTTCTCCAAGGTCCTTCATTGAAAAACACTTATTCAAGTAGGCCTAATGTTGTCCAAAAGTTCTATATCATTTCCCATCAAAAGTATGTCATCTACATATAATATGTGAAATGCTACAGAGCTCCCACTCACTTTCTTGTAAACGCAGGCTTCTCCATAAGTCTGCATAAACCCAAATGCTTTAATCATCTCATTAAAGCGAATATTCCAACTCCGAGATGCTTGCACCAGCCCATAAATGGATCGCTGGAGCTTGCATACCTTGTTAGCATTTTTAGGATCGACAAAACCTTCCGGCTGCATCATATACAATTCTTCCTTAAGATAGCCATTAAGGAATGCCGTTTTGACGTCCATCTGCCATATCTCATAATCATAGTATGCGGCAATTGCTAACATGATTCGGACGGACTTTAGCTTCTCTACGGGAGAGAAAGTCTCATCGTAGTCAACCCCTTGAACTTGCCGATAACCCTTAGCGACAAGTCGAGCTTTATAGATGGTAACATTACCATTCGCGTCCGTCTTCTTCTTAAAGATCCATTTGTTTTCTATCGCTCGCCGATCATCGGGCAAGTCTGTCAAAGTCCATACTTTGTTTTCATACATGGATTCTATCTCGGATTGCATGGCTTCAAGCCATTTGTTGGAATCTGGGCCCGCCATCACTTCTTCATAGTTCAAAGGTTCACCGTTGTCTAACAACATGATTTCCAGGACAGGGTTGCCATACCACTCTGGTGTGGAACGTGTCCTTGTGGACCTACGAAGTTCAGTAGCAACTTGATCCGAAGTACCTTGATCATCATCATGAATTTCCTCTCCAGTCAGTGTAGGCACCACAGGAACATTTTCCTGAGCTGTACTACTTTCCTGTTCAAGAGGTAGTACTTCATCGAGTTCTACGTTCCTCCCACTTACTCCTTTCGAGAGAAACTCTTTTTCCAGAAAGGATCCATTCTTGGCAACAAAGATCTTGCCTTCGGATCTAAGGTAGAAGGTA